TGATTTCTCATAAATGAATGATTAATACAAATATTTGTTTCTTTCACACAAAAAAAAAATCTTGGGAAAGGGTTCTTAAAGATTGTTCTAAAATATAATAATATATTTAATTCATGAGGTTGTAGATAAGAGATGTCTGATATAATAATTATGTTCATGATGGAAAGTAAAAAAATATATATATAATATTATATTGGTAGTTAAAAAGTATTTTGTATTAAAAACTGTTTTATTTCATTAGTTCAAATGTTAATACTTAATAGTTAGATTACTCGATAAGCTAAAGAGGTAATGATATTTTTTCTTACAAACAGAAATATTCAACACTTATTTTGAAAATGATATACCAAAATTGGCCAAGTTTAACTCTTACCCATTTTAAATATTTATGAGGAGGATATCAATTAAAAATTAAAGCAATTCTCCTACATATAGCTATCATAGTGAGTTATATATTATGTGCCCGTAATTGTTATTGGTTATAACTAAAGACCGGATTTATATTCTCATAAAATACCCAACATTTTATGCTTAAAATATTCTCATTATATTCCCCCAAAAATTTAAAAAAATATGCTAAAATATACATTAATATGCAAAAATAATCAAAAAACATCATTATATGCTTTAATCTGTATTTTTTAATTTTTTTTTTCAACATTATTTTAATAGTGAGGTATTAAAAGTTGCGTATTATACCTAATGGAATACTATTGCACTTTAGTAATAGTAGGAAATAGTAATATAATATAAATATAACAGTATAATATTAAAATATAAAAACAAAATTTGGATATTTGAATATTTGATAAACGTATAAGTTGATCTTATCAGTAGATTACATAGATAAATCTTTATAACTCTGCGTGTTTTCTTTTTATTTTGTAAATGTTCAAAAAAAATGTTCTGGGTACTGAAATATTAAAATTAAAAATAAATACAAATTTTTTCTCCTAATTTATGCTAAATGGGTTAAATATTCTCTAACCCATGAATTATTCTCAAATATGCAAAAAAAACTTTTTCTACACATTCAGAATTGAACGAATCGTCCACATTTTTACCAGTAATGATATGTAAAAACATATAAATCCGGTCTTTAGTTATAACACATTATTAAGAGATATTCAAACATGGCCTGTTATCTTTGTTTTGATCCCTTGTAACATAATTTAGATCAGGCTCATAGATTATTGGAAGTAAATTACATTATTTATCGCTTATTAAACAAATAAAATAACATTTCGGAGGGCATCACATACATAACCTCTTCTTTTCTGAGTATTACCTCATAAAAAATTGCTAATTAATATTATTAACTATAATATGCTGTTACAAATTGAATATTCATGATTTATTTTTAATAGATTAGTAATTAATACATTCCTTACAAACATATTACACTCTTGGTTTCTATCTCTTTCATTAAATACACTCTGCCATCGTTATCTACCTTATGAATATGGCATTTTATATATGTGAGAAATAAAGATAGCCAACTGCTGTTTCGTTTTGTAAAACAATTCTAAATTATTCAATGGTATATACTATGAAATAATGACTATTACTAAGTACGTCATACAAACCAATAATTTGAAATTACCTACTTAATTAATTTAAATATAATTTTTTAATAAGTACAACATAATATATTATTTTATATAGTGAATATATTATAGTTTAAATAGAGCCTAAAAGAGTAATAATTCAGCCATTTTATTGTTATACTGACTATTATTTTTTAAAGACTCAATTATATGAAGGATATAGTGAAGGGGATGTGAAGTGATGCCTTACTTTATCTAGCTGTAAAATGAAATTATTGAAGTTCAGGAATATATCTGTACAAATCTGGTGAAAATATGAATTTAATTAATATTAGTATACATGACAAAAATAATAAAGCTAGTTTAACCCAAATACATGATATGATTAACCTCTGATTAAAAAAACTTTTGGAATATCTACTCAAAAATATTTATATACCTGTATAATACTACTATTAAAACAATTGGTTCCTGCTGCTTGGATTTTGGAATACATATTTTAATCAGTAATTTTTTATTATAGTTTGCAAAAATGGCCAAATATGCCAAATATCAAAAATTATGCGACTTCATTTCAGTAGTATTCATTTTTGTCTGGCTGTTAACCAGAATTGGTCTATTCCCTTTTTGGATTTTGTACAGGTTAGTATTATATTAGTTGTTCTTAATATATCTGTGTAATTAATATTATCATAATTTTTGTTTATATTTTGACTATAGTACGTCAGTCAATGCGCCCCAAGTGGTAAACCAAATGTTCCCAGCTTATTACATATTCAATGGACTACTGTTTCTTTTACTTGGTCTCCATCTTTATTGGACTCACTTAATTTTAAGAATTGCATATCTTTCGTGGAATTCTGGAAAAGTATGTAGTTATACAGTATTTATCACAATCTCGCATTTCTTAAATGTTTGTATTTAATTAAAATATTATTTGATTTCAGATGGATGGAGACATTCGTAGTTCTTCTAGTGATGAAATTACACTAGATGATGATTCAAATACCAAAATAGATGACATCAATGGAGCGTTACCAAATGGCACAATTTAAATTATACTACTTTTATTGTATCTTTGTTTTATTGAGTTTTGTTTGAAATAATTTCAAAAGCACTGTAGGTATTCGTGTAAATATTTTTGTGTTCCAGAATACTAATCATTTTATTCCCTATTTAATCTTTTAAGACAAAAAAGTGGTAACCTTATCATGAACATAGCTACTTAAATGAAAAGTTTCTATAAATATTATGATCACTTAAATGTTTCGGATTCAGCTCTAGTCATCCATAAACAAAAACATTTCCTACAAGAAATATACCATAAATGTAACATTTATATGCAATTATTATAGTTTTTTTAGATTTTAGTTTGTTATTTTATTTCATTTTAACTTCATTAATATACTTAAATAATGCTTATTCGTCCCCGTCATCCTCCAGTCCCCCCCCCCCAAAAAAAAACAAAAATGTAATTTAAAACTTTTAAGTATGATATTTGTATTTATTATATTATTTATAAAATAAAATAGTTTTTTATATGTTTTAAGAATATTTAAATGTTATGTCTCTTGTTTAGGTACATCCCTTCTGAATGTTGCTTTAGTAATTTTCTTAACCTCAAAGTTATTGATTCAACAATACCTGGTACTAACAGGCACCAGTATTCTTACAGATATTGTTGTACTAACACTATTTAATTGTATAAGAATAAAATTCAAACTGCGTTTTAATAATGGGGAGTAGTGTTACGGAATCAATGTCTTCAGATGTGTTGGATTTGACAAATTTTGATACGTGTGGACATTTGAGTCCTTTTATATTGACTAGTCCGCGATCACTACTAGCGTGTCGTAAGGCTAGAATAAAGGCAAGTGGTATAGTTTGTATTGGTATCTTTGTTTGATTTTCATAATTTTCATAGCCCAATGAATTATTGTACAAGAGTGCTGCGGACATTTCTAAAGACCTTGATGTGTCAATTAAGTTAGCTTATCCAGTTTATCAACAACATGAAAAAATTAGACAAGGTAAGTATTGTTGAACATTGAAATAAAATAATGAGCTCTTGAAAAATGTCTAATTAGTTTATTCAAAAATAAATGGACAGTTATTATTAACGATTTTGATCTGACAAGACAAATGTTTCATTCATAAGTTTAAAAACAAACAATTGATTATTGATAGGTACCTATATGGTTGTATACTTGTTTGCTAATATCAAATTTACGAAATGAAATGATATTTTGTTAAACAATAAATTAGTAAAGGTATCAAATAAAATACTCAACAATACATCTTAGGTGGCTGTATATTTTCGGCATACCTATCTATATATTTTTTAATCAAGCAATATAGTGAATAGGTATATTATTTTCATCGTTGTCGACCGTCATCGAGTAATCCATATTCAGTTGCAATATAATATAATATAACTAAAAAAACCAATACATAATTATAAAGATTTATAAGTAAATATACGCTCAAATAGGGGGTGGGGCTTTAGGGGTTAAGCCCGCCAAACATTTCGTAAAGTTTTTTTAAGCTTATCTCCTTAAATCTCAGTAATCTCACTAAGGTATAAGGCCCACCATCCGTCCTCGAATCACCATATTGTAAAATGTATAAAATGCATCTGAAAACCACATAGGTACTTTTGATTTCGACCCCAAAAAGATCAATAGACAAAAACCGCACACTATCGGTCATTGTATAACTATAACTAAACTTATAGTGAGTTAAAACCGCTTACTATTTTTAGTGCTAAATAACGAATAAGATAAGAAGATAGGTAATAAGATACTATACAATAATCAATAATCATGCTAACACGTTTTAAGTCTTAATTCTTTAGTCTGTCTTGTGTAGTTGTGTAGGTACCTATATCCTACCTATAGTGGTTAAAACGTAAGTTCCATAAGAGAGTGTAAAATATTGTCAGTCCAATTGAAAAATAAAAAAAAGTTAGCTTATATATAATAGTAATATTTTTGATTTTTAATTAAATTGTATTTATTTTTAGGAGCACTTGTTTAAATTTTTATATTTTTTTTAAATTTGAATACCATTTTTTTTTTGTTTGAATAATTAATATAATATTATGTTATATTAAGTTTTAATTCAAATCAAAATTAAATATTCAAGTATTCACAATAATCGTAGTGTGTACTGGCTCACACATATTGTATTGTTTCATAGAATTGTCACAGTACAATCCGATTCAATGACAATAACATGTAAATACATTTTTTAAAATTTTTATTTATAGTTTATACAAGATTAAATATTATATAATTATCAAACATTTGATTTATAATTTATTTAGCGTTATATAAAATATTACACTAGTATGTAGCGAACACAAAGAATTCGTAACATTAAATTATAATAAAAGACAGTCGATGCACAAAAACATTGGCAATAAAATATTACTTGAGTTCTAGTCCTGAAAATCTATATTTCGCCAAAGGGGCAACCGTTTTCTTGTGCGTAGATCACGCAGTTGATGTGACCATTCTGTGCAGCTCTGCGACACGTCTGTTCATCCCACGGGCACCCGTTTTCCCTCGCGTAAACCAGGCAGTCCTTGTGACTGTAAAATCCGGCGATTCTGCAAATGGCCACATTCCACGGGCACAAGCTTTCCCAGTCGTATCTTATACATCTCGCAACTTGGTCACACGCCTGCTTATCGTACGATTCGGACATTTCGTCTCAAGGTACGCCGATCTCGTGAGAGAGTTTCGGGCAATTTATGTAGCAATTCGACGCTGCATCCCCGCATATGTTTTTAAACCTCTCGTCGCCTGTGGTTAACTGCAATCTGCTGAACATGGTCTGTCTGTCGAAGTCCTCGTTTCGGACTTGGTCGATTTTTAATATTTCGACCAGAGACTCAACAATGTCGCATATCGACGTCCGGTACATCCAGCAAGTCGTGCGCGTCACGATCGATCTTGTTGCAGGCCTAGTACGCCTTTTTCAACAGGCTAGGTACTTCGTACGTTCTTTCGTTGTCCATAGTTGTAGCACTCCATCCCTAACGTAAAGCAGAGAGCGTACGCCGTATAGTTAACGAAAACTCGGAATAGTCACTTAAAAAAGATAGTATAGGTTGGTATAGGTACCTATATCATTAACTAACGATAAAACGCCCTCGTCGACTGCCTAGTGCCTATAACAATTATAATATTAGCAACTCGTGAGAAATAATAATGTTGAAAATATATTACTGGCAATAGTGAATCTACTTGTGATTGTCAACACGATTTACGCTAAAACCGTAGAACGTAAGATGGCGCACGAATATCGAAGTTGAAAAAATTCAGGATGTAAAGATTGTATAAACAAGAACCATGGAGTTGCATGGACTAGCCAGACCACCCGAACCCATGAACCAAGGACCATTTAATATATTGTTCATTGCCATGAACTAAGATAAATAACAAAGGTAATAGGTACACCGTACACCTTGATAAATAATCATGAACTATAGTTATAGGTACTATCTTAGTTCATGCCACAGCATAGAGTAGGTAACTAGCTTCCTCTATATGTGCCAGATTACATAATACTATAGGTACATTACTACTTAATATACATTAAAAATTATTATAGTCAATACGTTTTTGGGGTAAAAATCATAAGTGGACGGTTTTAACCTACCAAAAGTATTCTGTCCTGTATTTTATCGCAAGTGTGTGGTTTTAGGAGTCAATGGTATAGCGAGACCCTTGGCCTCTTAAAACATTATTCAGGTACCGCCCTATGCCCTTTACGACCTAGTTGCTCTTTTGAATTTAAAATCTATTACATTCTTAGTAGTCACTAGTCAGTACCTATATATACAGGCTACAATAGTAATAAAATTAGTAGGTAGGTACCTACCTATGTAGGCACTTCAGAAATATTTGTAAATATATTTTATACCTATGTAACTTGGTTTTTATTTCAATAAGTAAACTACCCATGCAGTGATTATAATTTATATTAGATAAATATAATAACTATATAGGTTAGGGAGTTTAGTTATTAGATTGGTACTAACATTTATCAAAAATAAATATTTTTAAAATTAATCATACTTGCTCAGCATTTTATTTAAAAATTTACAAAATAAACGTGTTGCTTAAAAAAAAATTGAACTGTGAACATGAACCTAAATTAATTACCTACATTTTAAAGTGAATTTTCTGAACAGCTGTAGGTTAAGTACCTATGTACTATGTAGGTTGAATTTTTGCTTTTTAAAGTTTGTCTAATATTGATTTAGTTTTTAAAAAGTTCATAACTATGGGTGGGGCTCCAGTAAATCCTGTAAGTTTACTTGGTTACGGCACTATAGGACGTTATT